CTAGTTTTCGGAAATTGGCGCCCGCTCTCTCGTCCGCACTGAATGACATCTATTAATCGTTGGAGGTCCTGCAGGAGCCGTAGGTTCGAATGGAGTCGGAGATGGCGGAAGTGCCGGGGCCATAAATCACCGGAGAACTTCATTAGACACATTTCATGTTCGGCTGTGCCGGGATGTGCAGATGTGGTCGCAGGACAGCTGTCCTGTCACTTGCTGTGGGCTAATTAAGACGTCGGCTTCGATTGGTCGGTCCCGAAAAGGTTATTAATAATGCCGCCTTTTCGATTTTGGCCTCCTTACCCTTTGCAGAATGGAATTGTTCTTTGTTCGGGCAATAAAAAAGGGGAAACCATGGGTTAGAAGCTGATCCTTTTGGCCAGGACTGCGGCTCTCAGCTGGCCACATTTCGAACTAGAATTGTGGTCAAGTTGTCGTTGCTCCGAATTCACCTTTAACCTCCTGTCCTTTATTGGGTAAACACGAATTCGTCTGTTGCCAAACAGTTTGTGGTTTCCGTTCAGACGAAAAATACTAGGAATTCTGCATAAAAACGCATTCACCAAATCGGTTTATGGCCTGCTCTAAGTCATAAGTCCGATGAGCAAACTTTGTGACAATGGCCGATGGCAGTAAACATCAGTCGCATTGTGAATAGGTGAGGAAAGTGGAAAAAGCCGGCGGGCAAAGTTGGCTCAGCAAAGTTGGCCCACAAAAAACAAATCCTTTTATCTCTTTAATGCATGTGATGAATAATATTAGTTGGGCATATGAATTTTAGATATTTTTGACTTCCAAAAAAATATAGAAAATATATAAATATATTTTTAATCCATCTAAATAGTGAACAAAAACATTAAAAATATTTTATTTTATATGACATTTCTAGTTGAAATACATGACATTGAACCTTGTCCCACAAAAGAAACAAATCCTTTTATCACTTTAATGCATGTGCTCAATATAATAAGTTGGGCAAATGAATTTTATTACATATTTAAAGTTCATTTGAATACTTAACGATAACATTAAGAATAGTTATTATTATGCAATGATATATCTCTTTTTTGTTCTATTAAATTGAAGATTTGTTCCCCATCCTAAATCGAACTTGGTATGCCAGCTATCTTTATTACCCCAAGAGGATTGTCTATAAAAAACGATGGCCATCTCCGCTGTCATAATTGAATAATAAACGTTGCGCTACCGAAACTAAATTTCAAGCTGGCATTTTGATGCACGCTGATGCAATCTTACCCAGTACTCAAAAAGTTATGGAGGTATAATGGGTTGTGGGAGGGGTTTTGATTGGTAACAAAGTTATAGGTTATAGATCACCTATAAAATTCTCAATAACTAAGATTTTTTGGAATCGATAGCTATGATAAATTCCTCAAGGCTGCCATTTACTAGCCGGTAACTCGGTGTCGATTCCATCCCTGAGTCGTCACCTCTTCTTTTTTCCGTTTAGGTGCACGGTTCACTTGGCTGGAAACCTTTTACCAATAGCTCTGCCTCTACCTGCGCATCTATTCCGCTATTCGTGAGCTGCCTTTTTGCTTTTTGTGTTTTTTGCTTTTTTGCCAAAAGCTTTTAGCTGGACGCATCGCATCCGACGGAGCGTGGCGACGTCCTCATCGTGTCGCTGCATCAAACGACATTTAGCTTGCGCATAAAGTTCACATCATTGCCGAGTTGTTTGCCATGTTAACTTTATTAGTGTGCACGGCTCCTGTTCCTGGACCCCGGTTCCTGCTACCAGGATCCAGGATCCCGATTCGAAAACCCCCTTTGGAGAGTGCTTCATTTGCGTTATTGATACGCCAGCCTGCTGTATTTCATTAGCCAAGCGTCGGCTTGGATCGGCAAGTTTCTTTTAGCAGCCGTGAAATGCAATTTGCCGGCAGCCAGCGCATGTGGAATCGTAAAAATTATAATGAAGTTGGCAGCACATAGACAGCATGGACTGTCATAAGCGGGTTTTCAGTTTTATTGAGTCCAAAAATTGAAAAGAAATATTAGTTTTTATTGTGAACTAAGTTTTTTGTATGATACATTTTAGAAAACGTTTCAAAGATATAGATGTTCTTTTTTCACGCAACTAGCCTTTTTAAATTGTCAGAATATGAACATATCATCAGAAAAACTGACGATATCGGACATATAAACTATTCATTTTCCCGATTTTAAATCATTAAGAGTTATTGCTTTTTACCAAGTTTTTAGTTGAACTATGAAAATAAAACCAAACCCACATTCAAGTGTTATTTTATTGCTATTTTTTTACAAGTTCAACGAGGTATGACACTGCATATTATGGCCACTACTTGCTTTATTTTGAATAAAATACTATTTTTTTGGAGGAAATATAAGAATTTCTAATTTTGAATCTTTTGAAAAATTCTTATTTTTTTCCAAATTATTTTTGACAAAAAATTTAGCAGCATGTAAAAAATTTAAGTAAATAATTTGTAGATTTGATTTTAGAAGTAAGGGTTTACGTTTCTGGGACTAAATCAATTTAAGTCTACCTTTAGCACTTTGAAATGGAGTTAAAGCCAAGGCAATTACCCTGCCAAATCGACACTCTGACTAATGCCTCACATGTATTATTTATGACTAAGGACTGCATTCTTCCATTTATTACCCACTCCTCGAGTGGCGGGCATAAAAAAACATATGTAGCGAAGGTAATAATAAAGCCACGTAAATCGCACGCCACATTGGCCCCAGTCCGCAGACAGATGTCAATCACGTGCCCCGGCTGCAGTTCGTTGGTAATAAAAGAAAAAAAAATATAGAAAAAAATACATAACCAAAGAGGGGTTCGGGTAAGCCGGCTAAACTGTGGTGGTGAGTTCACTCAACGTGGCTAAGGTTGATCTCAAAGCGCATTCTGGTAATGGAAAAGGAACTGCTCAAAGCTCAAAGCAAACAGCAGAGGAGGTTCCTTCTGGCCATTTTGCATTTCCGATCGGGGCGCTTGATTGATTTTTTCTCCCTGCCATATCGCGGAATAATAGCCACCCGTTGCACCGCCATGGAACCATCGAACCACCCATCTAACCACCCATAGCACCACCCATCCAACCCACTTCAGATGGGGCCGCGGGCACTTGGCAGGCCGCACTTAGCTGCCGTTGCCGTTGTCGCCGTCGTTTTGTTTGATAACATCGTCTAGCAACGTGTCTGGCAACCCGTGTGACGTAAGCCCGGCACTTTTCCAGGACCCAGGAGCCACCACCACCCGCTGCCACCCACTATCCACCCCAAGGACCACCAACTCATGCATGCATTGTGAACTCCAGCGTTGTCGCCTTTGGCATAATCAGTTGCAAAAATTTGACACACCCGGAGTAAACGGGCAAAAAGCGCGTTTTTCCAACACCCGTCGCCATTTTTCCTGCGCCATTTTCCCGAGACCTGTGAATATGTGTGTGTGCTTTATTTGCATATCTGTTTTTGATTTTTGTCGCCGGTGGCGTCTATTCAATTTGACGTGCCGCTCGGTTGCTCAGCAGCAGCCCAATGAAATCAATAAATCTGCTCCACCGTTTGGATCCAATTTATCACTTTGCAGCGGAGAGGAAGAGAAAGGGGCTTTTCCGCTTTCCACTTTCCACTTTTCCCGTGCAGTGCCACGCCCACAGACATGCGGCCAGGGCTTATCCGCGAATCGATGTGCATACAAGTTTATTATTAGGGCCACACGGCGTATGAGTGATGTGGTTGATGATGGGGAATGGGGGAATGCGCCCTTAATGGGCTGGCAATTTCTTATGCCCACCTGAATGGCGGTGAAACGTATGCCCCGGCTGCCTCAGTCAATAATGAAATTTAGCAAAATATCCGAGCGCACAAAAGAATCGCGAGTCCTGCGGCGGTAAAGAATTCCAGAATATTTTTTTGGGGGGGCGGAGAGCTTTGCATATTTTACGGCGTCATCGAGCCATGTGCCGAAATGTTTTGTGCGCGCTTAAATTGCGGAAGTGATAAACAGGCGGCTCCGGTCCAGGAAGCATTTTAATATTTCAAGTTTCACTCGAGGCAGCACAAGCACAAGATGCTTTGTGCTTTGTGCTTCGCACAGCACAAGCACAAGCTGAAGCAACAGCAAGACAATAAAATAAAATCAAGAGAAACACTTGTTTTTGGTTTATTTTTTTTACATTAAATATATTTAGATGGTTTTTCTGTCAAAATTGTTTTCCGGTTTCCATAAAAGCGACCTCAATGGCGTTCGGGGACTTTAAGAGGGGGCGCTCCAGTGAAAGTAAAAGTTAAACAAAATATTGCAGTTGGAATGTGTTCTGGTTTCGGCCATATTTTCATTTTTGGTAGTGCCACGCCCCCTCTGAGGACCCAACCACGCCCCAAAGGTCCTTGCATTCATGGTCTTTTTGTGGGCTGGGGTTGACATTTCGGTTTCGGTTTCAATTTAGCAAACTTCTTACATTCAAGTACATTTATATTTCGGTTATATTATTTGCTGCTTTCCGTTCGCTCTGTGTACACTTAAGTTAAAATAATTAAGTAAGCTACATTTAGTTGTTAATATTTAAAAATTACTTTACTCGCTGCCTACTTCCATGCGCTGCATAGCCATTACAAAATAGAGGAGATTCAAATGAGTTTTTAAGAAATGGCACACAAAAAACAAAACAACCAAACGAACTATCTTAGGCAACAAGAGGAACGCAAAATCTTTGGTTAAAATTTCTCAATTCTTAAGGCTAAATATTAAATAAGTGTTCGTGTCGTTATTAATTTATTACAAGCATTTAATGCATTAGACAGAGTGGCTAAATCAATCGAATTTCGCCCGACTCCTTGAGGCAACTGAAAATCCATTCACAATCTCTAGCATAGTAACTTCGTGACAATCAAATGAAATGAGTGTAAAGTGGCTGAGTATCAACAGTAATGAAATTAGTGCCCTGCTTAGATAGAAGTTCTCTTAGATTTCACTTGATTTTCTTCATTTTCATTTTCACATTTATATATTTTTTTGGGTTTTCTTGGTTGTGTTTAGGTTCTTAGTGGGTAATCAAAACACTAAATACATTTAGCTTATATCCATTTACTTAAAATAGTTTTGTGTTTTCTGCTTTGCTCACGTCTATTTCATTATTTCGCTTGTCTCAAGTGCTTTGAGTTCGCCTTGCCGCTTTTCCGCGTTTTCCGCTTTCCCAGCTCCTTGGGATTTTCCCCCGATTTTCCTGCTGTTTGCTTTCACTTCACTTATCTGCTGATTGTCCACTAAAACTATGCTTTCTCCTTATGCTCGGCGTTCTACTTTTCTGGCTTTCCCTTTCGGCTGCTCCCTATTTTTCCGGGGATTTCTCTATGTAAGCTTTTGCCCCGTTTTTACACAATAAATTTGCATTTGGTTTTTGCTTACTTTAACTTCTTTTTGTATATGAATTATTAAACACATTAATCAAACAGTTTTTTTTGTAGTTTTTTTTTTCTCTTTTTTGTATGGTAAATCATAGTTTTGTGCATAATTAAATACGTAATAAATTGCCAAATAAAGTGTAATATGCATACGCACGAATATTCGGCTTTTTTGGTTTCTCTAAAAGTGACATTACCCTTTCCCCCAGCTTGCATTCATTACAATACAATTAAACATACAGTATTTTTCCATATAAATATTTTGTATATATTAGCATAATTTACCTTTATATATTCAGTCTTAAGCTACAAAAATCGTTATGCATATTTCTGTTTTGTTTTTATTATTTTTATCCTCTTTATGCCTTTGTTTGCTATAATTTGAATCTATTCAAATAAGTTATATAAATTCGCAATGTATTCATTTTTATTTCTTGTTTTTTCGTTTACATTTCTGCTGGTGCGGCGAAAGTAGGAGAAAAGCAGAAGAGTGTTTTCCCGGGCGGAAAACTCTATTTTTCCGGAGGGGCGGGGTTCTGTGTGTGTGTGTGGGAAATTCAGGCGACAGTTGTAGGGTAGCAAAAAGTCTTACAACTAAAAAGCAGACTTAAACTCTAAAGAGAACTTCGGGGTGGCCGGGAATATTACGTTTACCTATTACATTTATCATTTATCAATTATCGACTATCTGCTATCGTCTATCGTCTATTTGCCTATCGACTAACGGCTATCGTTGCAACTTTCAGCGATTGTGTCATCATGTTCTGCGTTTGCGTTTATCTTACAGGCATGCCTCATTTCAGTGGTTTTTCTGGCCAGCTCTGTCTGTCCACCTAAGACGTTTAGCGCTTTCCAAGTTTTACTGTAGTATGTACCTTGCTCAAGTAAACCAAATGTGTCACTATGGCTAACCGTTTAAACTAATTCTATGTAGTAGAGTGTAGTGGTAGTCGTCATCCTGCGGTAAGTTGAGTATCTCTTTCTTTAAATGAAACGCCAGTTTGCTCGGAGGTTCTCTTTTTGGGTTCGGTTTTGCATTAGGTTTCTATATATCTCAATCTGAAATTGCATCTGAATCTGAGTGTGAATCTGCTGCCGAAGTTGTTTGGTGAAAAGTCGAGTCTATCATTACAGCTATCAGCTAGGTTTATAGTAGTAAATTTATCGAATTTCGTTACCCCTTTTTACATATTTACAGGACTGTAGCTGGTATCTTTCGTGTTTTTATCGTGTTGAAGCTCGTTTCCCAAGGGCACCACATCTCCAAGACAGTATGTACAATGTAGAACCAAACGTTGGGGTCACCATTCAGGCGGGTGGGGGGTGACTCTCCTAGAGTATTCAACCCCGTCTGAAAGTGAGTGTGAGGAGGGCTATAATGATAGCTATGGGTCCTTGGATCAACCGATCTCCTCCTGCCGTGGACATGTCCTGGCCCACATTGCTGCGCACATCCATGAGATCGCGGGAAAGGGGCAGCTCGGTGGGATCGCTCAGTTCATCGTGGCAGGGCAGCATCTCCGGCTTGAGCAGGAACAGCTTGATGTTGATCGACTTTTTGTTGGTCAAGATGTCGAGGTCATCGCCCGCCGCCGAGTGCGAGGTCATCAGGACATCTACATCGTTGTGACCCCCGACGACGGTTGGCAAACCTGCTCCATAGAAACCTTGCTTGTGCAGGTTAAGGTTATCATCCAGGTCCAGGCCATGGCCCAAGGACATGCCCTCGTTGTTGTCATCAAAGTAGTCGTATCGCTTGTGGGTCGGAGCCACTGCAGCCAGGTCCTTCTTGAGATCCTCCTGTCGCTTCCGCCTCTTCGACTCCACCCCGTTCTCCGCATTCGAGGCGAACTGCCTTTGGCCCCGCAGCGCCTGTCGGGATCTCCCTGCCGAGTGCTTCCTGGAGTCGTCCAGACTGCTCAGTCCACTGTAGCTGCTGCCCACCACGCTGTTGCCCACTCCGCCCATGCTGGCGCTATTGCTGCCAATCGCCGTGAATCCGCCCACATTCAGCTCGTCCAGGATGGAGGAGGGCACCGGGTCCACAAAGTGCGACAGTTTCGGCTCTTGCAGCGTGCAGTGCAAGTCCTCCAGAGAGTCACGCAGCTGCAGGTGACGTGTGCGATTTTTCAATTCGAAGATCCACTGCAGACGACAGTCGCAAATGAATTTGTTGTCTGCGGAAGACAGGTGGAAAAAAGGGGGAGAATCGGGGTTAAATTCATATAACTTTCAGGCTGGCGGGTTATCCCTGAAATTGCTTTTGTCAAATCGTCGCCCCAAACCGATTGTCCAACGTCTGAATGCCCAACTGTCTGAATGTACGAATGTCCGCCCAGGTAAGCGAATGATTTCCCCTCCAGCTGCTAAGTGGCCGACTGCAACAATTGGCTGTCATTTGATGGCCGATTGCCACTCCAGCTTCAGGGGCACTGAGAAAAATTCCACAGTCTTTATAAAGTTAGAAAAAGAAATAATATAGAATTTTGTTCATATGTATAGTACTTAAGAAGTATAAATAAGCTTGTAATTAAAAAAATATATTATTTCTAAATATAAAAAAGATTTTTTTGTGATTCTTTAAGAAAAAGTCAGAGATGAACTTCTGTTTTTTAAATAAAGTTCCATAATCAATTATAAATGCCAAGAGCGCAATAATGGCTTGTGGTTTATAGACCCGATATAACTGTCTTTATAATTATTAAAAATTCTTTAACTCTTTCTAATTGATTTCTTAAGAGCTCTAAGGATAGAAGAGACAAGTTTTTCGAACGTTCGACAAAGCTTCGGAAATTTGACATTTATTAAAAGCTTGATTGTGATGTAATGTAAATTTTCTTTTACGAAGAGGTATTTTAAGTTTTTTAATATTCAGCAATGAAGCAGGTAGTCTAAAAAGTCTATAATTCTTAAACGTATGGCGGAATCCGAATATTAAGGAATCATGATTTCCTAATTATTATTTTCCTTTTAATTTTATTTTTCTTTCAGACCAATTTCCCTCATTTTTCCCAGTGCACGGCTCCGAACTCCAACTTCAGCTTGGCTGAATCCTGGCAGCCGCTTTAAATGATTTTACCCACGTTCGAGTCCGGAATCGAAGTTGCAGACGGAGTTGGAACAGGAACATGAGGAGGAGCCGGAGCAGGAGTCGGATGTCGATGTCGTTGTCATTGGGGCTGCTCCTCACGTTAAACGCCTCAATGACATTTCCAATTTAGACAGCAGCCTCCTCTCATTCGGGAGCGATTGTAGCCGGGGTTGTGACCAGGCCCGTCTGTTGGCCAGCGTCTGTCTGTCAGTTGGACAGCCAGATCTCCAGCTCCTTCTCCTGCTGCTCCTCCTGCTCCTCATCCAACTCCAAGCTTATCCCCTTTCCCATACTCAAACTGACTGCTGTCAATTATTTTGTAGTCCGCCTGGCCATGCGTGGCCCTAATCTGCTGCCCCAACCTTGGGAACCCCTTTCAATTTACCATTTGGTTAGAGGACACGGTCTTAGGCTCACTGGGTTCCAAATTGAGCGGATAAACAAGTGCCAGAGTGGATCTAATCACCGACAATGGTCTAATGAATAAATCAAATTACGTTTCAATGGGTTTCCCGAAGGAAGCTCGTTTCTGAAAAGCAGGGAAAACGAGCTACCCTCGTGGGTATAATTAGGCCCAAACACTGTGACACAGTTTGCCCTGTCAACATGTCGCATAATTAGCATAAGCGTTACGAAAAATATTGACTAACTGGCAAACACACACAGACACGGCCGAGCGACATCATTATCGAGGAAACGAGGCAAGTCAGTCGGCCAATTGAGCTGGCATATGAGTTGGCCGGGCCAAAAAGGGAGTCCCTTTCCTTGCTCCCCTTTTCACCCGCCCAAGTGACAATAATAATCCGAGGCATATTTTTGTAGTCCGGCCAAAAACTTGCTGCCCCGAAACGACAAAAGGAAACTTTGCTTTGCAAAATAGTTGGCAAATTAGTGCAGGGGGTCGGGGAAAAGGGGGAGGGAAAAGCCAAGCAGAGCCAGTCAAAAATTCTAATTTTCCATATGAAAGCATGCAAAAACCATAAATAAAGTTAAATATGCAGAGAGCCGAAGGAGGAGACTACACAGCCGGTCCGGAAAAATGCTGGAAAAATGGCCAACGACTTGGCAACATTTAGCAAGCAAATTACAACAAAATTAACATGATAATGAAGTGACCCAGCTGGGTGGTGGCGGAAAATCCTAGGAAAATGCTAGGGAGTGTATGTGAGTGGGTGGGTGGTGCTGTTGCAGCTGCCAGCTGTTCGCAGCTGACCAAATGACAATGACTTGCCCCCAGACAACGTGCCATAAAAGTGCTTAAAAAAATAGAAATTACAAAAAATATAAAATGAGGTGGGCGGGGGGAGGGGGGCGAGGACACTGTCGTACTTTGTGTGGCATAAAATACTTGTATATTTTTAATGATACTTGGCCAAAGCGGTAGGAAGTGTTTTGGTCTGCTGCACACACTCCGGCACACACACACACACTCCCCTCCTCACCACCTAAAGAAAATTGGGGGGGGGGGGGTTTCAACATGCAATGAACTCCCTCAACCACTGACTGCCACGCCCCCTTATTGCTAGATATATACATATATGTATGGCCAGAACTGCGGCTGTTAGTCAACTAGATGACTTTCAACTTTAACAGCTCCTGCTCTCCATCCTCATCCCTTTTACAATACACTGTGGGAAATATATATACCATACATAGGGGAAAATAAGATGAATACTGGAAGGGTATATTTCTTTATAATATATATATTGAATTTGAAGTTTAAGGTTCTATTTAATAGTACTTCTATCGAGGTTGAACTGAGCCTTACTTAGAGTTAACATGAAGTTAAATTCTTTGGAAAGACGAATTCGCTTTCTCGATGGGAAGTTAGTTTACGAATGGCAAGTCCTTATGGAGTCTTTATAGAAAACGTTTCTTTTAGTTAAGTGTTTTCGTTCAGATAAACATTAACATTAACAAAGGAAACTTAACTCAAGGGTGAACATTAACAGGACATTGAGAAATCGTCCCTAAGCTATATTTTTTTTAAATGGATTTTAATAGAATCTTTAATTTTTTTCAGTATTTAGCGATAACTAATTAATTTTCCCTAATTTCAAACTGAATATTTTTACCCAAACATTTCAATTAAAAACCCTTTCACAATTTCTTCAAGTGCATCATGACGCTCTAGCTTTTCTTTCATTTCGGGTGGAAATTTGGTAAGGGGACAGGAAACTGTCGGAAACGTTTTTACGGTTAGCAAAGGACATTTACACACACACTGACACAGTGCCAGGACCTGCTCCACATGCACATGCGTCTGTGTGTACATTAAATTTTATTATTGTCATTTTCATGGCGTCGTCGGTCGGACTCGGACCCGGACCTCCCCATTTTCCCGCCCATAACTTTTCGGTCAGCTCTATTTGCATAAGTTCAGTTCTGTATGTGCGAATATGTGTGGTGCAGCCAAATTAGACTCCAGTGGAACTTTGTTTGGTCAGTTTTAATGCCAGTGTGTCTGTAAGGCATTTCATGTGTTGAAACATATTCATAATTAGTCGTCAGTTCGGGCGGTTGAAGACCGGAATGTGGACTCCTTTGATTGGCTTTGTTTGCCCAAGATGTTTGTACTCTCTTTAAAGGGTATTATTTTACACTGGCTAAAGCAACAGCAATCCTTCATCATGACTCCTGACAGCCTCTGTTGCCTTTTTCTGTGTGGTCCCCTCTAAATGGGCTTTCATTAACATTTATTTTAAATTTAATACTCTAGAACAAAAAAAAAAGTTTCAAAGAGAAGGGCCGAAAATTTGCTTTAATTGGTTGGTTTTAGGAGCTGCCCGCCACATTAACCCATGCTGGCCCCTCCCGTTCGCTACATCCCTGCATATATTGAAAAGCGCAAAGAAATCGCTGCCTGCTGGTGGGTTTTTCGACTCTTTTTTTTCTCTGGTCAAGGGGTGGAAATATCAACACAAACGCCCAAAGTTTCAGCACAGCTGCTGGCCTAGTTTTATGGCCTTTGTTTTACACCGGACTACGGTTTTTGGGAACCCCAAACTCTTTTCAATCCCCACGTAACCCCGGACCCTAGCTCACCGTCGGGGTCACCAGGAATCCATGAATGCCGCGCAGCTTTGTTTGAAATCAGCTCATTTTTGGCGGCCTGGCCAACTGGCCAACACGGGGCTTTTGGCCAACTGGGAAAACTGGTAGTTGGTAGCTGGTAGCTGGTAACTGGGAGCTGGCTTCGTTTGCGGTGCCTGGGTTTTTTGGTCCGCCTTTGGCTGCCACCAGGGGACAGCACGCACAGTTGCCGGTTACCAAGTTGCAAGGGGGGCGGTGGCGGTACTGGGGTCAACGGGGGCGTGGCAGCGTTGTCCTTCGCCATTCGCTATGTGTGTGTGGGGTGGACCCTGCTCTCCGGAGGATTTTATCATTTTTTATTACATTTCTCGAGAGCGCTATGTATGCAAATGAAGTCGAAAGTTTCGCTTTGTATAGTTGCTAGTTGCCTTTGTTGTCGGGATGAGTGGTGGAGTTCTGGAGTTCTGAAATTGTGGAGCTGGTGATAAAGGCAAGCTTGTTTGGGAAGGCGTGAATGGGGAGCGATTCCACTCATTGGCTCTGGATACTCTATTGTTCAGATGATGTATGCACATATAGCTCGAAGGGAAAGTTATTGATGCAGACCAGAAAAGGGGAACGTTCCAATTTTGAGGAAAATTTATGGGGCTAACACATTTAGTGCAAAAATGTAAACTTTTAGCTTGACTTAAAACAAATAATACAAAACCAGCAAAGATATAATTATGAATGGCAAATAAAATATATTCGATAATGTTTCTAAGATGGACATTAAAGTTTTTCGAAGAAAATGTATAGATTTTTAACATCTTTTAGAGTAAAATGTAATGCAAAAATATTTCGACAGAAATAAATGTTTAAAAATGTTTGTATTTTTCCAAGTACATTTTAAGTGGTTAGGATAATCTTTTACTATATGCGACCTATAAAAAATTATAATGTATTAAACTAGGTGTAGATAACCTTTTCTAACATATTTGAACTATTTCATCTTGTTACTTATGGCTGTATTAAAATATTAAAATCTATTTTTAAGGAACAAATATAATACAT